TTAAATGCCTAGAATAATCACACCAAAGAAGCAAGATTTTCTGCCTGCTTTTTGGAAGTGTTTGCTTAGAATTCTGTATGTGTTTCTTAAGATGTTTTCACATAATAAAATATATAAAAGTAAATAATCTAACTAAAAATTTATTAAATTATGTTGTTTAATTTTTAAGCAAACATACCTAGCACAGAAATTCAGGAGATGTTAGCTGTTAAAGAAGTAAGTTTTATTCTCTAGAAAATAGACCTAGTAAGTTGTTGTGGGATATTATCATATAAATTAGGCCTTCAGCCCTATGTTATCAATATGCTTCTGTGAATTTAATCAGAGGGGACTATTAAACAGCGAAAGAAAAATTATTAAGTTTCCTTTGCAACTCTCTTTAGAACTAGATTAGGTTTCTGTACAGACAAAAGTGCAGACCAATTAAAAAATAATTTTATTTCCGAAATTGAAACTTGGCACATGTACATACTTTAGTCTTATAAGTTTGTATAGAGAGAGAAAGAAAGATGAGATGTATGTTTGTGGGGGAGTTTATGAATTTATTTAATTACATGTTTATCTGTTAACACTGTCCTAAATCTACTACTAAATTTCAGGGGTAGTAAGTAAGCCATGCTATCATGACGGTTGCCTTATACTGCTCTTCAGAATATTGTGTTTGAAGAGAAATGCTCCTTTCTAGTGCCTGGTCTTGAAGACTGAATTCTAAAAAAGTTTATTGCTAAATTACTAAAATGAAGAGAGTGGACTGTAGGATAAAAAGCACTGACAGTCTTTTGGGGCAGATGTGAAGATTCAAACTGACGGCTTGTTTCTGCTCTTTAGTGGATTTTGGATTTCCATACAAGGTTTTCATAGCAGGAGGATATAGGGGTGGTTTCTATTAGACAGCAGTCTGTTAGTAGTAGTTTGTATAGGAAACTATCCAACAGAGCTGGTGCCAACCAGCTCCAAGACAGACCCACCACTGGCCAAGGCTGAGCCCATCAGTGACAGTGGTAGTGCCTCTGGGATACCTGAATTAAGAAAGTGAAAAAGTTACTGCACCAAAGCAATTGTGGCCAGAGAGAGGAGTAAGCATATATGAGAGAAACAGGTCTGCAGATACCCAGGTCAGTGAAGAAAGAGGGGTAGAAAATTATCCAGACGCTGAAGTTAGATTCCATTTGCAGTACAAGGTGTAGTCTATGGTGAGGCAGCTGTGCCCCTGCAGCCCATGGTTGGCCATGGTGGAGCACAGATCCACCTGCAGCCCAAGGATGACCCTATGCCAGAGCAGGTGGATCTGTGAATGAGGTTGTGACCTTGTGGGAAGACTTGCAGGACCTAGCAGGACCTCTGGCCCCAAGGAGAGAGGTGCCCAGGCTGGAGCAGGTTTGAAGGCAGGACTTATGACCCAAAGGGGACCCAGGCTGGAGCACTGCATTCCTGAAGGTCTGTGGACAACGGAATGGACCCATGTTGAAGCAGTCCATGAATAACTGCAGCCTGTGGGAAGGACTCATACTGGAGAAGTACATGGAGCAGGGGAAAGATTTCCTCCTCTAAGGAAGACACAGTAGCAGAGACCATAACTCCCATTACTGTCTCACTTGCACTGCTAGCAACAGGAGCAGAGAGTCAGAATAAACTTAAGAAATTAAGCATGGAGGGATGGAAAAAAGCTATTTTTAAGATTTGGGTTTACTTCTCATTACCCTACTCCACTTAGATTGGTAATAAATTAAATTGATTTCCCCAAGTCTCTTACCCATGACAGTAACCAGTGAGTGATCTGTACCTGTCTTTATCTCACCCCCATTAAGCCTTTCTTTGTATATTGTTCCTCTGTCCAGCTGATGCGGAGAGTGATAGAGTGAATTTGGTGGGCATCTGGCATTCAGGCAAAGTCAACCCATCACATTCTTTTAATGGTAATTCTTTCTTCTTCCCACTATGCTGATTATAAAGAATCCCTTAGCTATATGACTGCCTCTGTACTGACAAGGAAGTGTAGATAGATAGCAGAGGGATAGCAGAGGGACTGGGTTGACAGAAAAGAACATTTGCAACATTGAGACAGTATGGGAATATAAGTTACATGTTAAGAAAAGAGTACAATAAGCAGTCATGTGGTGATAGCAATAATAAGGTTCAACTGTTTCGTTTGGAGAAAAGACAGAGGAGAATATGAAAGAGTTGTACTAAGAGTGACATGAAATAGGTGAGAAATGACTACTCACTCTATTCCAATACAATAAGAATCAAAAGAGCATACTAGATGGCATGTTCAAAGCAAAAACAATACAAACAAAAAAAGCATATTTTTTTCCAAACAACCTGCAATTAAGCTGTGGTGTTCCCTGCAATTGAATACTTCAGATGGTAAAAATCAATTATTTTGAAAAAAAACAACTATTTTTAAAAACCCTTTCTAGAAAATATCATTGACTGTTAATAACCATGAATGCCACCTCCAAAGTATTCTGCAAATTATTGAAAGCAGGACTAAGGAAGAACTCTTGCAATCTTTAACACCACGAGATACATTTTTAATCACTGCCAAAGAAGTCATAGATATCTTTGGACTTTAAAAACAGATCAAACACCGACCTGAAAGCATGCTAAACTATCTTGAGAAAAGTAGAAGAATAGGAAATGACAATTAACAACAGCAACCTAGATGTAGTGTCATGGTTTGACACGGAAATAATTTTTTTTCTGGAAGGAAGAGGTCAATTTGGACATTGACCAATTGAAGGTAGACACGCCTCTGAGAACACAGAGGGGTTAAAAGCAGAATTCCCAGGAAAACTTGCTCTCTTGGGTTCCAGTCAGCGGTCAGTGCAGGACTCTCCCCTGCCCAGCAATGAGCTGGGTGGGGGAGGGGAGAAGCCATGTGGCCTTGGGAGGTAGGCCCAAGGGTGGAGGGGACTGGAACCGGGCTGGACCCCTGCAGATGGAAGGGTGGAGAAATCTGGGATGTCTCCGTTCCCCCCCAGAGTCTCTCTCTCTCTCAAAAGAGAGAAAGAGACAGCAGCAGCTCTGTCATCCGTTCACCATGGGAAGGAGAAGAGCGGGGGGGCCGCAAGGTGCCCAGTTGCCTGTGGGAGCTGGAGCCTGGGCGGCAAGCCATCCTTGGGAGTCAGGACTTTTAACCCTTCCTGAGAAATGAAAGCTTTGTGAAATTTTTCTCCTCCTCGGTTTGAAAGAGAGGCAGAGAGACAGCTTGGACCCTGGGATGTTAGAAGGAGAAAATCTAGGTGGGAGGAGATGATGGAGTGGCTTTTTGGCTGGACTTTTTCTTAGTAGCCACAGACTGATCCGATCTTCTCTTCCAAGAGAGACTGTATTTTAGGAGGATGCTGGTGAGCCAAAGAGACCATGCTTCAGCTGGGAAAAGACAGAAGTGGAGCGAACAGAGAAAAGTTAAGGAGGTTTATGGTGGTGCCCCCTGTCTTCAGAGAAAAAGAAGAGAAGAAGATCCCTGTTCTTGAACCCTCGGCCCCAGGGGAAAATGGGGGGGACTGTAGTCCCAAAAATGAAAAAACTGAACTGTTGTTTTTCCCCTCTTGGCAGGGCATCCTTGAAAGGAAAAAAATCCTAAAAGCAGTCTGTCCATCCACGCATTAGTGGTAAAAGCACTGTGCATAGAAAGGAGAGGGTCACCATTAGCAAACTTTTTTTCTCTGGGTGGTGCCATGTAGTGACATGGAAGCACAGGGTGTGGCAGCTGTGTTTCTTGGGGGGTCTGTGACTGTAAGAGGCCGTCTGAAGACCCTCACTCATTTGCCTGCCGATTGCCACGAGAAGGATCTCCCTTCCCCCACTGCAGTTCCGGCTTGGAGAAGGCAACAGTGCAGGTGCAGCCGCTGTACCGTTACGTTCCGTTCCGAATGAGGCCCGGCAAGAACTTGGCAAGAAGTTGGCAAGGACTTGGCGAAGACCCAGCGTGGACCCAGCACAGAGCGGCCCTCTGCAATTCCTGCTTCACTCTCCACCTTTAAGCCAAATGAACTGTTGGGGTGACTCTGGTGGTCTCTCACTGAAGACCCCTCATCTGCCTCGTTACCACCATGACAGACGGAGATCAAGAACCCTCTCCCCAAAGACTGAGACTGAGACCCCTACCACAGAGAGTGGTGGTGGGGGGGGAATGACATGACCTGTTCTTCTCCAGTAACTTCAATGGACTTATTCATTATTGTGTTTGTTCAGCCTGGATGATTTTCTGTAGATACACCTGTTCCCCCCATAGCAATTTCAATAGACTCTCATTGTTCTGCATGTTCCCCCCTTTTCCTTCTGTGGACTATAACTGGACCCCTGGGTTGGGTAGGATTTCGGAGACTCTCCCCAACACAACAAGACAGATCCCCATCGTCCGGACCACTGAGGACCTCGCCTGTGTTGGTAGCTATTCCCATCCCCCCTTTCTCTCTCTCTCTCTATCCTTTTTATTTCTTTTCTGATCCCCACTATCGCATTTATTGTTTTTGGCCCTTAATAAAGGTGCATCTGTTGTGATTAAACTGATAGTCCCTGCTGTTTGTCTTTTGCACTTTGGGATCGGCTAACGAACCATCACGACACCCCGCTATAAGCGGATCGTGACATTAAATTGGCGTCACGGACAGGATTTCTGTCTAGGCAGAAGGGTGCAGGTTCTGTGTAGTCTGTAACAGGGGAAGGACGTTTCTCTCCAGCCGCACCTAGCCTGCCAGTCCAAAAAACTGAGCATGGTCTAGAAAGCAAGGGGGGAGATTCGAATTTCCCGCAGACTGCACATTGCCTAGGCGAAAAAGCACCCACACTGTCTTCAGAAATTGCAAAAGATCTCTTAGTGCAAAAGGCGGGACACTGTGTTGTTTTATGTGTATGTTTGCACTGTCTGGGAAGGAAGGGACAACTTGAGGAAACTAAGCAGAGCCTCCTAGGCAGGTTTTGTCTCTTCACCCACCCAGGGAAGTGAAGGACGACACAGCGAAGACTGTGTGCTTTCCGTAACTTAAGTTTGTACCTCCCTGCCGTGGTTTTGGTTCCTTCACAAAATGAGTGATAACCTTAACGATAAGGGTAAAGTTGAATTTTATGCTTTACTAGCTAAATACAATGCCAAACCTTCTCCAGGAGGAGAAGAATGGGCACAAAGTAATTGGTTTAATTTGGATAATGTGGTTGATAGAATATGTTCTTTACAACATGGTACAAGATTTAAACTGGGCAGAAATAAAACCATCTTATGCTCAGTTTTGGGAGCTTGTCTTACGGCAGCTGTAGAAACTCGCTTCCAGCGAAGAAGTGAGCAAGAAACAATAATAGACTCCCTTCAAAATTTGGTTGAAATTTTACAAAAACAATTACATGAAGAAAGGAATGAAAAACATTCATTGAGAAATGAGAACTGTGCATTGAGAGCTGCCTTAAAAGAGGAACACGTTAACAAGTCACATAATGCTGATTCCTCTGTAAATCCCGAGGAAAAGGAAACTCCTCGCATTAACCAAATTTATCCTCACAAAGAACTTGAGGCAGTAAATAATAATGGGGAACATTGCTGCTCTCATTTAAGACCCTTAATTAAAACAGAATATAACTATCTCAGTGATGATGATCTTGAGCCCCACATCACAACCAAACACATACCATACACTGCCACCGAGTTAGCTAAGCTTAAAAAAGAATACGGACGCCACCCACACGAATCAGAAACAGAATATGTTTTCCAGGTGTCCTTCACTGGTGGCAATCAAATTAAATTAACTGAACAAGAAGCCAGTAGGTACTGGGGACACGGTGTCTTCTTAACAACAGGAGATAAACATGACTCGTGGTCCCTGACACAATGTGTGGCTTTTTGGGCTGGGAGAACAAGCCCCTTGGAAAGGGGAGATCCTATAGCTATAATTAGCACCCCTGACCAACTCCTAGAAAGTGTGTCCAAAGCCACTTGTCTGCAAATGATTCATGGAAAGAAATTAATTCCTGGCTTTGAATTCCCGATGCAATTACCTGTGAAGCCTGAAATAATGACCCCTTTAATTTGTGGGCTTCCAGAAACACTCAAACCTACTGCCATAGCCTTACAGAAAACTACACCATCTGTATCTCCTGTAGAAAGACCAGACAGATTTCCTACTAACCAGAAGAACTCATTAGTTGCCCTTTATAACTTGCTGAGGAAAGGAGTAAAATGGGATTGGACTTCTTCTCAGGAAAAAGCATTGCAATTGCTGATTTTTGAAGTAACAGCTCATCAAGCTCTGGGTCTCGTTCATCCTACAGACCCCTTTCAGGTAGAATGGGGATTTGCTGTCTCAGGATTGTCACTACACACACGGCAGTGGGGACCCAAGGGTCCAACACGGCCCGTTGGTTTCTATTCCCGTGGTTTCAGAGATGCTGAAAAAAGGTACACTACCTGGGAAAAGGGATTGTTTGTAGTCAGCCTAGCCCTTATTGAAGTAGAAAAGATCACACGTCAACAACCTATTATACTAAGAGGACCCTTCAAGGTTATCAAGACAGTCATCAATGGGACCCCCCCTCCTGACGGGGTGGCCCAGAGGGCCTCGGTAAGAAAGTGGTATGCTCAGATTGAACATTACTGTAACATCTTTACAATAACAGAAGGAGCTGTGAAAAATTTGGCAATACAAGAAACTGAGAGCTTGGATAGCAGCCAGGACAAACCTGCCTCTGTAAGCAAAGTGGCCCCTCCTTTCTGCCCTGAACAATCAGCAAACTCTTGGTTCACTGATGCCTCTGCTAAACGAGAAGGGAAGGTGTGGACATACAGGGCAGCAGCCCCCCACATTTCCTCTGGTGAACTAATTAATGAGGGAGAAAGCAGTTCTCAGGTCAAGGAGCTGAGAGCTGTCTGGAGTGTTTTCCAACAAGAAGCACAGAATGCCTCTCTTGTCTGTCTCTACACTGACTCCTATGCTGTGCATCAAATGATCCTGATAATCCAGCACATTACCCTGGCCAACCTGTTCTGGTGGACATCCCTTACTATAGGGCTGGTACCACTTGTGCTAAAACCCCCTCTGAATAAATGTGCATGGAAAGCCTCTGGTGCTCTAGGGAAAGAGCATTGGATAAATACATGCAGGATAATTCCATCATTCTAACCTCTTCTGCCTCTCGCTGGCAGGATTCTGTTGTGTTTACTTTTACAGAAGAACTCCGAGGGACATGAAGACCACCTAATTCATGATAAAACTGGTAATACTGTCCTGCATCCTACCACAACCCCATGGCCAGAAACCAGCTGAGTGGTTGCGGTCTGAAATAATTGTGGTAGTATGCAGAAAAAGTGAAAAGATCTCTTTAAGCACAAAAAGGTTTGTATGCACCGAAGCGTACAGGATTGTTGACACAATTTCACATTAACACAAACTGCAGAAGTAGCTTGTCTTTGGTCCAAAAATACTGAAGCGCTTTCTTTTAAGTTTAAAGTATTGATTTAAATACTGGGGAGAACTTGATGTTAATGTTGTGATACCTACCACCACCACCACTCAAACTCAACCACCAGTTATGCTTACTCCAAAAATCTCAAAAGTTGGACCATATATTATCAGGAAAACTGGCCAACAACAAATATTGTTCAATCCGGCATGGTCTCTTAAACAAGTTAAATTGCTAATGCAAAGCAATGTCTCAGAAATTCAGCCAGCTTGTTCACCTTTCTTGCAAACTTCTTTCCAGGGTTGGACGACCTGGTTACGACAGTGGAACCCTTCTAAAACACGAAAACCAAGAGACATAACTGGTGTTGTGGGAACAGGATTGGGAATTCTAAATAGTATTAATTCAGAAGTATTATTAAATAAATTGGCTGCTACAACCAAAGATTTGACCCAATTACAACAACCATTGCAATCATCCTTATCAGCCTTGGGAACACATCAGTGGTTGCTAACAAACATATTACCAAATTGGGAAAAGGTAAATATGAATGACCATGAATTAATAATTGATGCACTCAATGCTACACAAAGCAACGTTTCCTTAGCCCTTAGCTGCATCCAGGCACAATTATGGATGCAGTCAGTTGCTGCTTCAATTATAAGAGAAGGTGAAGAAGGCACGTTTCCTATGGAAATTCGGAAAATAGTTTGGGACAGTGCCACTGACTTTGAAAAAGATTTCCAATCCTGGTGGAATTTGGTGAACTTTACTTATGACCCCACTGCAAACTTAGCCACAGCTTTTGTGTTAACCATACGCAATGCCTCCGTGCATTCAATATTCCCCATTATTGCATTAGGATTGAATCATGATGGAGCCACTCTCTATCCTTCCGAGCATAGAGAATGGGCCTGACAAATTGATGATAAATGGCAAACTGTTAACTTAGAATCTTGTATTGTCCAAGAACAACAAGGGTTCATCTGTGAAGGCAATGCAATTATAGCTCAGGATATTTGCCTGGACACTGAACAAAATATCTGTCACTTTGAAATCCATCCTAATGAAACTCCTAAAACATTCCTTGTATATATAGGCAATGGATGTGCATGCTTTAGAACTGCTTGTAACACAGTGTATGTAGGAGACACAGTAGTAGATACTAAAAATCATTCAAATTTTTGTGCTTGCAATTTCACTAAAATTACAGGATGTGATTTTTCTTTTGAAGCTCCAGTTACTTCATATCAACTTTTAGAATCTAATTACACGCTGATCCATAAACTATTGCCTACCCCCATTGGAATGAATCTTACTCTGGTAAGGCAATTGTTGCTTCACCAGGACTTAATTAAAATTTTAGGAAAAATCAAGGAGAACGGACAGAAAACACTGGTAACTATTCATCATGATGTACAAGAAATACATCGGGTTATAGAAAGAGTGAAAAGTGATGCAGAACATAGGTGGTGGGATACACTTTTTGGGTGGTCACCTACTGCTACAGGTATCCTGAACAAACTGTGTCATCCCATTGTTGTCCTTTTGATTTTAGTTTTGATTGGCTTTGCTTTATCAGCAATCTTGCTTATTATAAATTGGAGAATGATAAAACGATTAACAAAATTGACAGCTATAATTAATGCACACCACTTGGCCGATGTGCTTTATACTATAGACATCCCCAAGACTATAGACACAAAGCAATTATAAGATTGGAAGATTGTTTGTTTTAAACCTGATTTGAATTCTTAAAGATTGTTTTATTAGTTTAAAGAATTGTTTTAATATTGTTTAATCAACTCATTGTTTATTGATTAGAAAATTGTTCCAATTAAAATTGTTCCAATTAATGTTGATTCAATTTATACTAATTATTGTTATTGTTTTACTATTTCCCCTATTCTCTTTTCCCCTTTTTTCTTTTCTTTCCCTTCTCTGGGATATGCTGCCAACACTAGACGAGTCCTGAAGACTTCACAACGACACTACAGAAGATCTCTTGGGGGGCAATCGTCAGTCACGGGGTGGTGTAAGAGGCCGTCTGAAGACCCTCACTCATTTGCCTGCCGATTGCCACGAGAAGGATCTCCCTTCCCCCACTGCAGTTCCGGCTTGGAGAAGGCAACAGTGCAGGTGCAGCCGCTGTACCGTTCCGTTCCGTTCCGAATGAGGCCCGGCAAGAACTTGGCAAGAAGTTGGCAAGGACTTGGCGAAGACCCAGCGTGGACCCAGCACAGAGCGGCCCTCTGCAATTCCTGCTTCACTCTCCACCTTTAAGCCAAATGAACTGTTGGGGTGACTCTGGTGGTCTCTCACTGAAGACCCCTCATCTGCCTCGTTACCACCATGACAGACGGAGATCAAGAACCCTCTCCCCAAAGACTGAGACTGAGACCCCTACCACAGAGAGTGGTGGTGGGGGGGGGAATGACATGACCTGTTCTTCTCCAGTAACTTCAATGGACTTATTCATTATTGTGTTTGTTCAGCCTGGATGATTTTCTGTAGATACACCTGTTCCCCCCCATAGCAATTTCAATAGACTCTCATTGTTCTGCATGTTCCCCCCTTTTCCTTCTGTGGACTATAACTGGACCCCTGGGTTGGGTAGGATTTCGGAGACTCTCCCCAACACAACAAGACAGATCCCCATCGTCCGGACCACTGAGGACCTCGCCTGTGTTGGTAGCTATTCCCATCCCCCCTTTCTCTCTCTCTCTCTATCCTTTTTATTTCTTTTCTGATCCCCACTATCGCATTTATTGTTTTTGGCCCTTAATAAAGGTGCATCTGTTGTGATTAAACTGATAGTCCCTGCTGTTTGTCTTTTGCACTTTGGGATCGGCTAACGAACCATCACGACACCCCGCTATAAGCGGATCGTGACAGTGACACAGGAGGAGCTCCTCTCTCCCTCGCTGGACTGAGAATCAATTGTCTGGAGGGTAGAAACCTGATTTGAGTCCAGGTTATGTCTCACTGTAGTTTGTTAGAGGTGGGTGGTAGGAGGAAGAATGCTTTGGAAGGTTTTCATTTTGATTTTTGTGTGTGGTTTTTTTATTTCTTTTTTTCCTTCTATAGTAGTATAGTAGTAGTAGCTTAATAAAGTTTTTTTCTTATTATTAAGCTTAAGCCTGCTTTGCTCTGCTTTCGATTGCATTTCACAGCATTCAATTGAGAGACTGCATTTTCATGAGGGCACTGGCATTGTGACAATGTCAAACCATAACATGTAGCAATTGGAGTAGCTGTATGGAAGACATAATTGTGATTGTGTGGGACAAAATTACGGAAGTTGTGTAAGATGATGAAGAGTGAGAAAGAGAAAGCATGTGTAATGTGTGGGACGGGGTGTGGTTGATGGCCTCCCTGCTTTACCTTGGGAGGCGACTGATGTGTAGTTTCCCGCCTTCCCCAGTTGTCAGTTATTTGTTATCCCTTCCCCCTGTTCCCGTCAATCATTATGTACTCCTTCCCCAGTTCTAGAAAGTTCTACGTTCTTTGTATCCCCATTGGTTCTCCCCCCGAAACCACGCCTTCCCTCTATCCCAGTTGGCCGTTGCCGTGTCACTCTTCACTGACTCCACCCTCAAGCCCTCACCCGGTTGGATGCTCTGTACCCTGACCCTCCTTCCCGGTTACTGTTATAACCCCTGCCCCGCCCCTGGTTCGGGGCTCTCAGAGCTGGCTGTCCTTCTGAGCGGCTGCTTCCCTTCGCTGCCCACCTCACCTTCCCTGCTTGAAGCCCTCAGGAATAAAGCCTCTTGAGAGTCACCCACCTTGGTGGAAGCCTCCTTATTTCTACAACCATCGACGGCATCCGAGGTCCCGACCCTGTGGCTATCCGGAGCGGTCGCAGGACCACAGGCGCCGTCAGTAATGAGCTTGAAATCTGTCACAGGAATCAAGACTGCAGACATAAGCTGATCCAGGAGATGGGCAAATAGTTTAAGCTGGCAGGTACAAGATGTTCCACCATGGTTGCAGTAAGGGTATATGGAAAAGAGTGTCAGTATTTTCAACAATATCTGCTCATTCAGTGCAGCTGATGAGAAAAGGAGGAAGCCATACACAGGAACATACAGGGACACAAACCTGACCACAAAACGATAAGGAAGGTGGTGATGACAATCAGGTCTGGTCAGCCACACAGATTGATAAGGAGACATGTGAGGGCACAGGAATGTTTATTCCAGCAAGGTTATCTTAATTGGGAACTTGGTCAGTTGGCAAACCAAAGGAACAGTGGTAAGCCAGGAAGCAAAATATACTGACACACACGTGACTAAGCAAACATGTCAACTGTGAGAGTAAACTAACCTTGCCAGTCACAATAGCTGCTGAGCTATCATGCAATTATCTATGCCCACCACTTTGATGAAAACTCACCTGGAGTTTTCAGCTAGTCAGTCTGCAAACCCAGGGATCCTCTGATCATTCTGCAAATCCAGGGGCCCTGAACCATGTGGCGTGAGGGAATCAACAGAGCTGTGGAGGGACAAGCAGGGGAAGGGAGAGCAAGAAAGAACAGAGATAAGATAGACAAAAGGATAAAAAGCGGTCTAGTTGTCTGTAAAGAAGTGCAACTCAGTACATTCGTCTGGCTTAGTCCTACGCCTAATGGCCACAGTGTGTCTCATCTTCTTATTAAAAATTTTCTTATCTTCCTCTCTACATAATTGCTTGCACTGTGTATATGCATGCTGCAAGAACTCAGTGCCAGGCATCTTGGGGGACCTGCACATGCCTGTGTGTAAATGGAATGTGGTGCCAGCCATTGGAGTAAACCTGAGAATGTGGGTGTTCCTGGCCTGTGGCATCAGAGACTGGAGTGAGGAGGGAGATCTCAGCACAAGCTACAGAGAGCAAGAATGGGCCTCTCCCATCATAGGAAGGAATAGTGCTTGTATCCAAAACACAACGCTGGGTGGCACTGGCAAGAGTGAGCAAAGTCAACACTTTGAGTGGCTTGAGCAGGATCACAGATCACAGGAGATAGAAGGTTAGTATGATAAAAACAAGAATTAACCCACAGAAGGAAGAGTTTTATGAAACCTTCTTTGAAAATCTAAATCTTTATCACTGTATTG